AAAAGCTTTTTGTGGGGGACATACACCTGCCTGTGAGGGAACACATCTTCCTCCAGGGAATACAACTTCCGTTTGAGTAATGATCATCTAATGACTAAATGCAACTTCCTGGTGGGGGCGGTCACCTTCCTATGCAGCAATTCTTTTTCCTTTGATAAACATATCTTCCTGTCAGGGAACCCTTTTTTCCTTCAAGGATTACACATCTTCCTATTGGGGAAACCCACTTTCCTATAGGGCAGTGGTTCTCAACCTGTGGGTCACAACCCCTTTGGGGGTCCAACGACCCTTTCGCAGGGATTGCCTAAGACCATCAGAAAACACATATATAATTACATATTGGTTTTGTGATTAATAACTATGCTCTAATTATGTTCAATTTGTAACAATGAAAATACATCCTGCATATCAGATATTTACATTACAATTCATAACAGTAGCAAAATTACAGTTATGAAGTAGCAACGAAAATAATTTTATGGTTGGGGGTCACGACAACATGAGGAACTGTATTAAAGGGTCGCAGCATTAGGAAGGTTAAGAACCAATGCTATAGGGGAATGCACCTTCCTGTAGGGGAACACTTCTTCCTGTGGTGGAAACTTTCTTCCTGTGGGGAAATGCTTCTTCCTCTGGGAGAAAGGCACTGTTCTGTGGGAGGAACTAACCTTCCTATTGAGGGAAAATCTTCCTTTGTGGGGATGGACATTTCTGTGTGGGAAACTATTTTCCTGTGGGGGAACCTGACCTTCCTGTAGGGGAAACACACATTCCTGTTGTGAAACACACTATTCACAATGTGAGGGAACCCTTATTCTAGTAGGGGAAACTCAACTTCCTGTGGGGGAAATGCATCTTCCTGTGGTGGAACACATCTTCCTGGAGGGAGAGGGGAAATATACCTTCCTGTGGGGAAAGTATCTTCCTGTGAGGGAAACTCACCTTCTTGTGTAGGAATCCTTGCTGTGGGGAAAAGGCACCTTCCTGCGCAGGAACACATCTTCCTGTGGGAGAACCATTCCTGTGGTGGAAACCCACCTTCCTGTAGGGTGAACCCTTGATCTTGTGGGGTGTACGTAGCATCCTATAGGGAAACACACCTTCCTTGGGGGAAATTCACCTTCTTGTGGGGGAAAGGCTCCTTGCTGTGTGGGAACACATCTTCCTCTGGGAGAATCACACCTTCATGTGAGGGAACACATTTACTGTGGTAGAAATTCACCTTCCTGAGGGGGAATTCATCTTCCTGTTGAGGAAACACATTTTCCTGTGTGAGAATCATTATTTCTGTCAGGGAAAAGAAACATTTTGTGGGGAAATGCACCTTTCTGTAGGATTCATCTTCCTGTCAGGGAACACATCTTTCTGTCTGGGAAGCTAATCTTCCTGTGGGGACGGGGGAACGCTCCTTCCTTTGGGGAGAAAGCATCTTCCTGTTGGGGAAGACAAAAAGATATGTTCCCCCACAGAAAGATGTTTTCCCTCACAGGAAGGTGCATTCACCCACATAGGAAGATGCACTCTCCACAGGAATGTGCATTTCCCCCAAAGGTACATGTGTTCCATCAGAGGAAGATGCATTCCCCCCATAAGAAAGTGCCATCCCCCCACCCCCAGAATTATTAGTTCCCAAACAGGAAGAAGTGTTCCCCACAGGAAGATGTGTTCCTCACAGGCATGTGTGTTCCACCCACAGGAAGATTAGAATCCTCCACAGGAAGGTGTATTTCCCCAAAAGGAAGATGTGTTCCCCAGTAGAAAGGTATGTTTCTCCCACATGGAGGTGCATTTCTTCCACAGAAAGAATGGTTCCCCCACAGGAAGAAGTGATACCCAACAGGATGGTGTTTTTCCCAACAGGAAAGTACATTTCTCTCACAGCAAGAAGAATTCATGCACAACAAGGTGTATTTCCCCACAGGAATATGTGTTCCCCCACAAGAACATTCATTTCTCTGACAGGAAGATGTGTTTGTCCACAGGGAGAAGGGTTTCCCAACATGAATGTGTGGTTCCCCCTCAGGAAGATTAGGTTTCCCCAAAGGAAGATGCTTTTCCCAAACAGGAAGATTGGATTTCCCCCATAGGAAAATAGGTTCCTCCACAGGAAGGTGAATTTCCCCCATATAAAGGTGAGTTTCCCCACAAGAAGGTGTGTTTCCCCAAAGGGAAGAAGTGTTCCCCCACAGAAAGATGAAGAATTCCTGCACAGGAAGGTGCATTTCTCCACAGGATGGTACATTTCACCATAGGAAGATCGTTTCCAATAAGGAAGATGTCAACATAAAATTAAAAATTAACAAACTAAAAAAAATTCATCTGAATAGATGAAAACTCTTAAAATAAAAATTAAATTTTTACAGGGTTACAGCTCTTTTTATAAAATCCCCTTTTTTATTGCTTAAAGTATTACAAAGGGTATTACATATGTGTACCCCCCCCCTTGACAATCCCCTGGCCTCCCCGACCCCCCAGTGTCTTGTGTCCATTGGTTATGCTTATATGCATGCATACAAGTCCTCTGGTTGATCTCTTACCCCCTTCCCTCCTGCCCCCCAACCTTCCCCGGCCTTCCCGCTGCAGTTTGACAATCTGAGGCAGCTCTGCCTCTTAGATCATTC